TTTTACGTATATACAACATAAATGTATAAATACTATTTTATAATTATAAATCTGGATTGGCTACATACATGTAGATTAACTTTGGTATTACTAAAAATGCTGGCAAATAGATTGTATTACGGTTCAGTGAAATATTTCTCATCTCAGTGACGTCACGCTGTCACGTGGTCACGACACGGGAACACTTTGAGCGATACCAGATTCCAGATCTCCCACGTTAGATTCAAAATGTTCGTAGCCTGAGGCAGTTGGTGAGGTGACGTAATGTTCACTTGTTTCGTCAGTGAGTTGAAGAAGCTCGGGCTCGTCCTTATTGGACTCGAACTCGAACAATGTCTCTGGGTCTTGGTCGGCATTTTCATCGGGCTGATTTGAAGTTAACGTACTAACTACTACCCGATCTTCCGAAAGTTCGACCTTTGACGGGGAAGGCAACCCTGCCGAAGCAGTACCCCCCACGGTTGATTCGCTCCTCTTATCAATTTTCAAATCTTCTTCGTTTCTTTGATCTGTGTTCTCCTCCCGCGCTCCATCATGGTCTATTTCATCCTCAGGCTTCTCTTCATCATCAGAGTGCTCGGACAAATCGTCCCACTTATCCATGTTCATGTCCCCGCTATTCTCAGATGACGTACTGTTTAAATCCATGGGGAGATAAGAACGCCTCATGACTAGATCCCCAGGGGTTGGTGCTCTGGACATTCTCTCTCGCGCGTGATAACCGGCGAGTATTGGGTCCCACCCTCGCGAGGATTCACTTGTCGTGCGGGATACCGCGCGCGACCCGGCTTTCGTTGCTCGTGACGCAACGCGCAAAGGAGGGCCTTGTTGAGTCTCGGTAGTAAACAGACGTTTGTAGTCGCTGGTGTACTCGGCTGCTTGGTCCTCTTGTAGGATATGCGCCACTATGGCGTCCTTTCGACATAACCGTCTTACTTCCTGCCTGATGGCCTCAACCATCTCCAGATCTCCAGTTGGCTCTACACCTAGGGATTCTAACGTGATGATCGCCTCTCTAAGAAAAACACCAGACATGACAAGACGTTATAACCTAACTACTATGTTTTTTAACTGAGTTGGAGTGTATGGAAGAAGCCTTTGACCAGCAATCTTGTGCGGATCAATAACCACAAATCTTCACGTAAGGTCATTCAGTTCACTCAATTACACTTTCATCCCAGACTTAACTAATCGATGAGATTAGCAAAATCAATGAGTAATCGACGGGTAATCGGATGATAAGTCAGAGATTATCGCACATGATCAATGAGTAATTAGTCACTGATAAGTCATTGATGACACTGATTACTCCCCGGTACAATCTCGTTACTTCAAAAACCATACTTAATGGAATATTTGAAGGAAACAAAAATAAACTTTTTTAAGGTATGTGCAACGATGTAAACAATATTTAACTTCCCACAACAGCTCCTGAAGCTTAAGAATCTACTCTTCTCCTTACAATCGAAAATCAGGAAAAGCATGTTTGCGAATAGATTTAATGCTTTCCAGGGAAGTGTTTGCAAGGAGTAGATAAGGGGGTAACATTTTGGCTTGAAAGTGCTGTCCATCTACCAGCTTCTGGTTGGAAAAGTTCCTATTAGCCATTTTTTTCCGTTGTTATATTCGACATATCAAAGCACTAGAACCGTATGAAAAAAATAAATAAAAGAACGTTAACTGATTAAATTATAAAGAAAACACAATAGAATCTAAACTCTTTCTCACCTCTTCACAAGTTCTTCAGTTTCCACAACGAGGCGATCTTGAAGAACGCTGAGTAACCGCTCATCCCGTAAGCCCAGCACTGCGACAGCGTTACACGCCTCCGCTCGTACAGCGGCAACCTTCTCATAACGAATAGACCAAAGTAAAACCTCGATCAATTTATCATCCACCACTCCTATGGAGCCGAGAGCTGCAATGGAAATACAAATAAGTGAGAGGAACCCCGAGAGAACTGTTTCAAGACCAAAGATCAACAACAATATTCTCCTTACTGCTTTTGTGGACTTTGCTTAATTCTCCTTAGAGAATATGGTTTTCAATTAAGATCACTTTACCATAGACAATCAGAGCCTTTGGTTTAGTTATTTGAATTTGTTACGATGAAGAGAACTGGGCTTAAAAAACTGACTACTTATAGCAGGGTATGTAATTCATGTAAGACTAGGAATAATGTCCCGAGAATATCCCTGTGAACCCTTGTATACCCTTGTAAACCCCCTGTATACCCCATGTATAACTCTGTAGACCCTAATATACCCCATGTAAACCTTTGTATACCCTTGTGGACAGTTACCCAGCAAAATGATAGGATTACTGACGACGATAACCTTTTTGTCTTTCTTTTCCTCTCTTCGACCCCTTCCCTTCCTATGACCACCGGTTGCACTTCGTAGAAACCCTGCGGAACACGCGACAGACAAGATAACGAACCTTTTATAGTATGTGCCTTGACTTTCCAGCTATTGTCATCGCTTGCCAGTCGTAATAGTGACCTCAGTACATCCTTGTCAGTGATCTTCAACTTACCAGCGGCCTGAAGGAAAAAACAAATATCGGTCCTTACGGTGTTGTACCAGAAGGGACTTTTGTGACACTTAAAGGACAGACTGACGTAAAAAAGAGCGGAAGTAACCTGCTGCGTTCCTTGTTTTCCCTCTTTTCCACCGCCTCGAAAAATACGAAAGCCTGATCGCAGGTTAGAGTTTTGGCGATGAAGGGGACATTCAGCGAGATCATTTCCGTATTTTATCTGTACGTAGTTTTAGTCTGTAAACCTGGACAGCTAAGCAGGCAACACTACCAGATCTATGTAATATTTGTACTTAGAAATCTTAAGTCTGTCCGGGAAGATAATTCAGCAAAGATGCTGTTCTTTCCAGAGATTAAAAAAGGAAAGGTGCAAAGGTGGAAAGGTGCCAGTCTCCTGACCCAATTAAGTTCCGCGAGAATTTATCCACGATAGCAGATTGTTTCTTCTCTTAGCATGTAGATAGCGCAATGCTGAGTGAGTCTGCGCAAGCACCGAGCCATGAACATCAACGAGCAATGGAGAAACTGCATTGAAAAAAAAAAACCAAAGCGCCTTGAGAGGGATTTGGAAAAAGCGTGAAAATTTGCAAATGGATTTGGAAAGTAGGCGAGGCGTTCTACTGGCACTCCCATTGCCCGAAGAAACTCTACTGTCTTCTGAAAAATAGAGGCTGTAAGTGGCGTACAATCATTCTGTGAGCTACTTACCATAGCAGCTTCGATTCTTACAGATACGTATTCACTCTTGAAACATTCTTGCAGAGCTGGCAGAAGACGAGCAGTCATTATACCAAGGTTGGACAGCTGGAAGCCAAAAGAAACAAGCATACACGTAAAGAACAGCAAAAAAAAGGCTGTTATCAAGTACACTACAGCGCTACAGCGAGCAATGAAGAGCACTTTGGGCGAAATTTCAATTAGCCAGGCTTGGTTTAGTTTGGTGTATATAATTCGTTTAAATCTTGTCGGATTCGAATGAAAAAACAACTACAGCATTATACATGCCCTAAAAGATAAAATATTTTCGATCAATCACACACGAACACTGAAACCAATCGTGATTTCACAGAAAATAAGCCGCNAACATTCTTGCAGAGCTGGCAGAAGACGAGCAGTCATTATACCAAGGTTAGACAGCTGGAAGCCAAAAGAAACAAGCATACACGTAAAGAAGTGCAAAAAAAAGGCTGTTATCAAGTACACTAGAGCGCTACAGCGAGCAATGAAGAGCACTTTGGGCGAATTTTCAATTAGCCAGGCTTGGTTTAGTTTGGTGTATATAATTCGTTCAAAACTTGTCGGATTCGAATGAAAAAACAACTACAGCATTATACATGCTCTAAGAGATAAAATATTTTCGATCAATCACACACGAACACTGAAACCAATCGTGATTTCACAGAAAATAAACCGCTTCATGTCCAATTATGTGAACTAATCCTCCTGTCATTCTTTGGTACGGATTTCTTGATTTGTCTGTCTGTAGTTTGTTCCTTCGCTCCGCTTGTCGTTTGTGTAAAACTTAACATCTCTTTCCACATTTCTCTGCCTTAATTTGTTTGATAGAGGTAAGTTTTTTTGAAAGACGATAACTTAATTCCTTCTGAAAAAGTGGATGTTCAACTGAAACGAGTGTAACTAATTGTCGAGAGTCGAGAGTCGAGGGTAAAATGTGGAGAGTCGAGGGTCACATGTCGAGGGTCGAGGGTAACTTAAAAAATATATTAAAATAAAATAAAAAATAAAAAATGAAAATAAAAATAAAATATAGTTTACATGAAATAAATTGCTGAAGAAATTAAGACAGAATTTTCTTTCGCCAGCTTTTCTTTTTTTTTTTTTTTGAGTNTGTCTTGATTTCTTCAGCAATTTATTTCATATATACTATATTTTTATTTTTATTTTTATTTTTTATTTTTCACTTTATTTTAATATATTTTTAAAGTTACCCTCGACTCTCGACATTTTACCCTCGACTCTCGACTCTCAACAATTAGATACACTCAACTGAAACTGAAAACCTTTACCTTTTTCAGTGCGTCCACTTTAATTCGCTCGTTTCCTGTAAGTATTCTCTCACGCAGTGCATCATGGACAAGCTGTTGATCAGAATATACAACAACATAAACTTCTCTCGCCTGCCCTTATAAAGGTTACAGATGAACACAGAAGGTTTATGTAAAGACCAGGACATTCAAGAACCAGTAGCCTAGAACGACTACTGATCATCATCCAAGATTACGAAACAAATGATAAAACGATATGAGGACTTAACAGTGAAATACATGTACCTCTGGATGGCAGGATTGGTGAGAGAAAACTTAGCAGGTGATGAGTCAAAGCCCTGGATTAAAGATTACTAAACGAACCCTGGGGTGCATAAAAAAATCAGTTTCCCGGCTTGTTGTTCAGGCAAGCTGTAATCAGAATGCAGTAACCTATCTCTGGCGAAAAAGTATTTCCCAGCACTAGAATTAATTAACTATTGAAGCTTCTCAAATTTTAGCCCCCCAAAAGATCACGTGCCTAGAGGAAGGATAGAATCCACTACCCCGACCGCAAAAACAACTAGCCCCCGAACCCATTTGCCAGACCCAAACAACAAATACTGCACATGTACCTTGCCATTTCCAGTCCTTCCAAGGGCTTGTGCAGCCGCTGACCGGACATCTTTGCTCCAGTCATTCCACATTAGGTACGACAACTTATGAGTCATATCCTGCAAGGGAGGAAAAAAACTGATTTAACAAGGAATAAACAAGAGATAGGGACGCGTAACGGGATTCAGATTAATGATAGGTGACTGCACTTGAGAAAACTGTCAAGTATGAACTCTAACCCCACTTTTAACCCTCCTTTACACTGTATGTCTCCTGAAAACCCATGTACCATAAAGATCAACTTTCAAGTTTCTTGCTTCCTACTACAGGAAACGGAATACATGGCAACCCATAATGAATTTCTAAAGCTTCTGGAAAAAAGAGACAAGTCATCAGTCTCACCTTGTTTGCTCCTCCCTTCAGCTTCGGAATGACCTTACAAGCTGTTACACGGTCTTTCCAGCTGTTACTGTTCAGTAATTCTGCAATTAATGACTGAACAACTTCCTGAAAAGAAACCAAAAGAACGTCAGCAAATAAAACAGGGTTATTTGGATGATGAAACAATAGAATCTGCAACGCTACTCTAGATCAGAGTCTGGTGTGGAATTTCAGCAATTAATGACTGGATAACACCCTGGAAAATAGTCATATTCCCATAAGTGCTTTTTTATATAGACTCATTATTATCCAACTGCAGCTAATACTGTCCAAATAACAGTACAAATATACGGCGATATTGTACAGTTATTTGTACAGCAGAAAACCTATTTGCCGGCGCTAGCATGCAAAACTGTCACACTCCCCCTTTTTCATTGATAAATTTATTGACTACAGTAGTTGGATAGTAAATCTCTTATTAGATGTTTTGGTGTTTAGTATCGCTTTATATTTTTACTCATTATTTGTATTTTGATTCGCCCAACGGGNAATGTTCTTTTTATTATATAGACAAACTAATGACAGCGTTTTTGATGATTTCCGAAGATTTCTGACCACATTCCGAAGATTTCCGAAGATTCTTGAAAACTTGTCCGAAGGTCACACGATCATTGCCGAACATTTTTCAAAAATTTCTGAAGATTACCGAAGATTTCCAAAGATTTCCAAAGATTACCGAAGATTGCCGTGGACTTTCGAGGAAGACCCGAAGACATTTCAATGATACATCAACGAATTTAATTACAATTATTTAAGAGACAAACTTGACATCAGGAAATCATCGATATCTTCACTAGTGAGGATGTGGAAAATACACCACTCAAGTCCCGGATGTGGTTTTGTATGAATTTTGCAAGTGGTGTATTTTCCAGTAAAACACTAGTGTCTATATAATAAACAGTGATACTACACACCAGAGCATCTAATAAGGTATATATATTTAAAGAAAGAGTTACATGTATGTTACAAATAACATCTTGAAATGTTAGCCTAAAGTTTTCATGTTTACCTATCTCAGTCTTCTCCAGTCTGAATGACCATAAGTTTAACATATGTACTGACTGGCATTCTTGAATATAATTTTCAATTTGGGGAAGTCACAAAATCTCCCAATATTATTATTCTGCAAAGCAACTCACTGGCTATGAATATTCAAGGCGAGTTGGGGATGCACAAGAACTTATCTGTTTAATATATTCAATAATACAAAACAGCAACATGATTAGATATCACATGGAAAACTCACCGACTGTTGACTCAGCTGTGCTAACAGAGTGCCAGCCTTTTCAGTCCTCACAGCATTATCTGCATGCAGATGATTGACAAGCTCCACAATAACCTTGTCTGTGATCACACCACTCAGAGCCAAGCACTGGGTTGCTGCCCACTTTTCAGGGGGGCCACCATGCTCCATTGCCCACAAAAGAATTGACTTAGCCTGGTGATTTTGTAAAGGAAATTAATAAAGCCATCAGATTAACAAGTAATTTTCCCTTTTGCCTTGGTTCAAAATACATGCTCAACCATGCAAAAAATCTTCAGCAGAAAATAAGTTTGTTGTTTGATTTTTTGGAGGTAAAATGTATGTGCAGGTGAAACACATTTTCATAGTGAATGATCTAATTTGCACAAAGAATTTTTTTGACAAGGAGGCCAAAGGCAATTCAGAAATGCCTGATGATAAGCTAGTCAAATATTATTCAAAGATACTGTGACCTAATACAGCACATGAATAGCACCAATACAGATCCTATGTTGGTTTGTTTTTTCCTTTTCCAGCCCAGAAAGCCAAACAAAGCCATTTGTCAGAAATGTCATGTTCAAGGGGGTCAGCGCTAGACAAGGATTAAGTTCTTTCCTGCAGGCACCCTAGTTGCATGTAGATAGTTATATATTTTTGATGCAAATAAAGTTGTTATCAAATTATAAATAAATAAATAAATAAATAAATAAATAAATAAATATAGCATGTAAAATCACATTCTGCTAATGATAAGCCTTCTCTCTTACTGTAAGAAAACAACATCATACCCTCTGTTGCCACCACAGTATGCAAATTTGTTTTACAGGGAATTAGTAAGTACAATTCATTCACTTTTCACCTTTTCACTGGGTTTGTTCAGTGAGTACAATGTGATAGCAGCAGCAACCTTGACTTGTGAATTCCTATCATTTAACAGCTTTGAAATAGCTTCAATAAGCTCTGGTTCAAGTACTGTTTCTAACGGAGGAGTTGGTCCCTTTGACTTGTCTAACATTATTCCTGTGTCCAGGTGAAAAGAAAATAATCTTTAAACACAAACATTAACATCAGATATATAACAGTCGTGCTTGCCTAATGCAAGCTTAACTTTCTAATCTGATAATAAATTTATGCTCCACAGCCATCTTAACAGCTGGGCTTGGTTTTGTTACACCAGTCTTGTGTGTAGATTAATCTAATTAATCCAGGTAATCCCTACCACCAGCATAAAAGTTGAAGTTCAACTTTAAAGACACATTTGATTCAACTGGTTTCTCCAACATTATGTGGAAATACAAATAAAGTCACAAGAATACTGGTGGAAAATGCAACGTAACGTGCTTTGTGTTTACATGTAATAGTTGTTGCATAACTGCAAGATCTACATGTAAACTGTAATTCTACAAGTAACAAATCAAAAATATTTGTACAACTTTAAGCCATATTCAGATGTAGATAGCCCTAGCAAACAGCTATCTGACTCATGTTTTATCACAGATTTATCAAACTATACGTAAAAGAATACCCAGATGATGTTCTTCTTTCTTCATCTGACGCAGCTCAGCAGCCTTACTACATGCTGACACAGCTGCCAGTCTGACATGATCATTGATATCCCTCATGGCATTGATCAACTCATCTGTTTCACATTTCTGCCAGCGACGTTCAAGAAACCACTTTGATCTCCATTCCTCCACTTGGTAAAAAAATTACAAGAAATTGTTACATGTATGGGTATTGACTAGCACAGAGATAGATGCCCTCTTATATTATTTTGTAAATGGTGATGGCTTCAAGTGGAGTATAAATGGACATATAATAACTTGCGCTAAATATACCCAGTTCTACAGGGAGGTTGCAAAAGCCAAATGGCTGGACTCTAGATCAAGCATTCTAGGTTCAAACCCTTTTCTTGCCCAAGAACACAATACTGTGACCCCTCCAAGGCTTGAACCCTCACCACACAATCCCAAGCCAATACAAAAACCTATTCGGAATCTATTCTGTCGTCTAACACTTCTAAACAGCAGTTAATTTTAGTCAATTGTTTAAAACATACTACACAATGCTTTCCTACAAATTGACATGGGTGACACTATGAGGTTTTGGTTTAAAACTGCTCCATCTACTGTTTGTTTCTCTCTGACTTTTTCTGACTTGTGATTAGTCTTACCGATTTTAACCACATTTGAATCATCGCGCATCTTTTTCTTTTCCTTGTAAGCATTGCTCATAGCCTTAACATCAATACTAGATTCTTTCATGACAGGAACATAGTTATCATCCTAGAGAAACAAATAAGCAAGATGCATGTAAGTGAGATCTAGGTAAACAAAATCTAATCAAAAATGGACAAGTATCCAGGATGAGACATATTCAAAATTTATAAAAGTTCTCTGGTTAAAATAGTTTAAAATTACCAGAGCTTTCGATTGCCAATCTACAATCTTTGACAAAGATTGTACACTGGCAATCAAAAGCTCTAGTAATTATTTTAAACTATTTTAAAATCAGAGAACAGTTTTTTAAATCTCAAAATCAAATTAGCCTGAAATAAAATTTAAATTGAAAACAACAAAATAATGTTTAAGCTGTACATTGCATGTCATTCATTTTTGTTACATCATTCACTCCATAATTTGTGAATGAGATATATAAATTGTAAATATTGCACATTTGGTAACCACAGAAAGGATAAGTAATAGTAACTGGACCAAGTTGGGTACAATTCAGGGAGTAATCTCATGAGTAAGTCCAAAATCAGATGAGCATGTAGCGCAAGCCCAAATTGAATTACAAGTCAGAGCAAGGCTGATTTGAAATTATAAGCATGATTACTCCCTGTTAAGGACACTAGACAAAGGTCAATTTTGATTAGTTAATAATTGTTTCTTTATCTTAGTTACGAACGTAGTTATAATGTTTACTTCTTTTTTATTGGTTGTGTAATCGGACCTTTAAGCGTCACCACGCGCATATAAAAGCTGAGTTAGCATCCCTTTAAAGTAGNTTTTCCGTGGTTTACTTGTCTACCCTTGAAGACGACCTGTAAAGTAGTCCCACCCACTAGTTTGTCGCGACACGCCTAGAGCTCGTTTTGTTTCGTCTCATTTTGGAATTTGCCAGTCGCTGCAGACGTTACACTCCCTGAATTGAACTCCTCTCAGTCCAATTACTATTATAACATAGCGCACACGCTAGTCCTACCTAATTCCTATTGAGCCATCATGAACAAAATCTTTATGTACGCATGGCCATGCTCAATAAAATGACTTGTGCAGTTTCATTTCAGCTGCAAAATTTCCATCAAGTTTAGTGCGAGTTCCTTTTGTTTAAGCAATGTGAAGATTATTCAGCAATGTGAAGATTATTCTGAACAATCCAAACCCTACTTCGAGCCTTTGACTTTTGCCGAGCTAAGATGTTTACTTAAATTTGAGTATTTTGACTTTGTTTGTTTGACATTTTCATTGAGTATTTTTGACTTTGTTTGCCTACATTTTCATTATTAGTAATTAAATCAAAGAAGCAAATTTTCATTGACAATTTTAGAAACCAGGTCAAGCGTTTCCATTCAACTGATTGTGGCGTGTTAGGATCCTAATGACCTTTGTTTTCCTTCACTGTGCATTGTGAGAACTTTGCAGTTAATCACAAATGAAACATGTTTTAGCACCCAATATGTTGTCACCATGTTAGAAAAGAATTGGTTCATGCATTTAGCTGTGCGTATATTGAGTTATGGATGCACTTGGAAAGTTTGGAGAGCACTCAAGAAGCTAAAGTTGCTCTCAGCTATCGCCTCGAGCAACTCTTACGCTTCTTTCATGCTCTCCAAACTTTCCGCATGCATTCATAACTTGATATACGCACGCTAAGCATGAACCAATTCTATAATTCATCAGACATGTATCAGAAACAAATTTGATAAAGTCTTTTGAGAACTTCTTTTGAGAGAAAACGTCAGTAGCACACAAGAAGGGATAATGCATTATTTTACTACTTGCTGCCTTCTAAATAAAAATGTTCACATACCTGAACAACAACTGGTAATTCTTTCCATCGCTGCAGACCTTTCACCAACTTTTTCGGCTTCTTCTCTGGTTTCTCTTTTACCTTAGCAGATGATCCCTTACTGGAATACCAGACCTTAGAATCCTGAGGATAGTTTTCTTGTAATTGTTTCTGAAATTTGAGCTTGTCATTAGTGTCAAGAACAATAAAGTGTGACTCTGAATTCTTTTTCGATGACACAGGCTGTGCACCACCAAGTAACTCCTGCTGGAAAATGTTATCTGTTTCAAGTTTCTTGCTCCCTACAGCAGGGGACAGAGTGAATGACGGTGTATAATGAATTTCTAAAGCTTGCTGTGACTTCTTTTCCTCTTTCAGTTTTTTCTTAGCTGTGGTCTGCTTTTCGTTTACTGTTGCACCTTCTGAGAGCTCCTTAGAAGGAAGTGTTTCTTCCGTTTCTTTGATCCTCTTTTCATAGAAACTGCTAAGTCTTTCCTTGTCAGATCCTGCCGACTGTTCACTAATAATCCACTGAGCTGTTGATTTGCTCAGGCAAGCAAGCACAAATTCATCCCATTCATGTTGTGATGATCCTTGTGACAAAGTATTTTCTGTAAACGATTGTGTCACTTTTGTTTTTGTTGTTGCTGGAATAGTCCTTTCTATATCAGTAATAGCTGGTGAGGTCTTTGATCTCCTCAGAGGCTTAAGTTTTCTTGGTCCTTTTAAGTGGCACAGGGCATGCCTTTTCACTACACCACGTGTGTCATGCCGACCGACAAGCCCTATTGAAGGCCCCTTAGCATGACACAAGCCTCCAGTTCGGAATACAGTATTTAACTCATCCTCGTTATAAGGCAGCGTGTGAGGTGCACGGTCCTGTAAAACATCTTCATTAAAGGCTAAACCAGTGCTGATCTTTTTTAAGTATGATCTACTGATGTCTTTACTACTCTTGTCAGTAACAGGATGGTGCTGAGTATAGACATCTGCAAGTTTTGCTAGGGGCCCCCCATCCTTGGTTGATAACTTTTGCCCCTGAGGGACTCCAAACGAGGGTGCCAAAGGAGCTAGAGAGCTGTGTGCAAGTCTAGTAAGGTAATCATCAGGAAAGGGAGGTGTGCTGATCCTACTAGCATTGAGCCCAGTTTCATCTCGACCAACATACGGAATCTGAACTCCAGACGCCACAGCAAAGAATTCTGCACCATGGGCCTTGGTTGGTGACACACTGCCAGCAACTGAAAGAAAAACACTTTGTTAAATACATTATTAACAACAGTTTATTTTGCCCTGATTACTTAATACACATAGACGATATAAAGAACTTACTTCAATAATTTAATTAATAAGCTCATGAAGACTAATTAACTTAATATATTATTACTGCTGGCTGGCGGTGTAGCAACAAAAAAAAAATACCGTCTAGGAAAGTGAAAATCCCTATAACTACTTCTCCTAGTACTTCATCAACTTTTCACATCTACAGTTCTCAATTTAATGAGTTGAACAGCTTGTACTTGAACGCAAATGGAGCACGCAAGTGTGAAACTTGAGGAGGTCAGAATAACCCTGTATTCAGAAGACATTAACGTACCAGAAGCTAGCTACTTTAAACCAAAGGATAAGAAAAGTGTTTGAAATATCAAATTTATCACTATTGTCCAAATAAACATACCATACCCGTGTTGTACGGAGTCGAAAAGCCACCCGGTGTTGATACGTTCGCCATTTGCTCCAGTCGCCATTTCTTTGTTGCCAAGCAACGTCACCTTAACGGAATGCAACCGCGATAGCACTGTACAGCGGCTAATTTTAACTACTCGATCCCAGGCTTCTTACTGTCGTCTCGACTTTTCCGAAGCGCGAGTACCTAAAGTTCTCCCTAAAGTTACGTTCATAACTGCGATGATCTTTTATGTAGTATATCTTTCTCCCGCAATTCACATATTCTCTTGCTAGACATTCGAGAGCAACCCTCTTCCCATGGCTCTTCCCTTTGAAACTGGGCGGGAAAAGCCCTGGCAGGAAATGCACGGGAGTGTAAAGAAGATCTCCTTCTCCTCCCCTGCTCTCAAAAGAGCTTGCTCGCAGGCTGTACCAAGCCTTACAGATAAGAGATGATGTCCCACATAATCCTGTCTTGTTATAGATTATTCCTTTGCTGTAGCGCTCCGTGAAGTCAATAAGGCAATTAGTGGATTTGGCGCTACATAAATATTTTTATTATACAAATATTTTTATTACTTATTGTAACGTGGATTGAAGCGCATTACATACAAGACTACTGGGTGTGCGTGTCAACTTGTTTATTGCGTATTTACACTATTGGAAATTGAGATCATTCAAAACCTTTGACATTAAGGATATTTTGTTATCACGAATATGTGAAAAACACAGTTATAAAATAGTTGATTTGCACGGTGATGCTCTTATACCAGAGCTTTTTAAGTTAACCGTCTTAATTATATTATATTTTTGTTCTTAACCGCAATTTTTTTGGATACTTATATATTAAACCGTACAACTTGATATGAATCACTAATCATGGTAGACTTCCATATTATTTTTCTCTTTCGCTCGAAGCCGACGAAGATCTCGAGTCGCGTCTTTCTCTTATAAATATGTTCTTGTATTACTATAAGTCGACCATTTTAAAAAGTGATATCAATTTTCAATCTTGATAACTATATACACCTGACGATAACAAAGCATTATAAAATTAATGTAAACATGGTAGAACTTTTTAAGAACCGTCAATAAATACGTAATAAAGTAAAGTTTTCGTACTGTACATGAACTTAAAGTATATCTGCATCAACGTCTAGTACTACCTTAAAAATATATACTGTATATTAATAACGTGCTCTAAAAAATAAGTATGAGCTAGAATAAATAAATGGCAAGTAAAATTGAATATAAAATTTCAGGCTTATTACTCCACATTATCTAACAATCCATCCGAGTCATTGTCAAAAACGCGGTTCTGCTGTAAAAGATCTAGACTAAAATAACCCATTGTAAACTAAAACACTCAACTGCATTACGTCGTTGCTCTAAAATGCTGGAGTTAATTGTTGAGAGTGAAAATTAAACATTTTGTGCGACTAACTTCTATGACTAATGTTACGGTGGGAACACTTAAGACCGATTTAGGTATCCTGTTAGATGGTTTCATGATCAGATCGATCGTTTCAAGTCAGATCGTTCCTCGAACCGGGACCTGGAAAAGTAAGTTTGAACACAGTCAAGGAAGATGGAAATTTGTATAAACTCGGTCCGTGAAACGATATAAACATTGAGTGCGTCGTTTATCTTTCAGGAAGAAAGTTCTCTTGTCATTTTGTGAGCGAAATGATCTTTTGTGGAACGATCTGACTTGAAACGATCTGACCATGTAGTGATCTAACCGGAAATTCCCCCTTTAAGACACAGCGTAAGAAAGTCCACTCTCCAATCCAGAATCACAGTTATTTAAACTTAGCCAATAGCCTCATTCGGCTTGATAGTGAGGCCTCGAGACAAGAACAAGAGAAATGAATAAACATAGTCATTCAATTTCTTAAGCTCTCTGCCAGGCTGAATTATAATTTATCGAAAACAGCTAATCTCTTCAGTCTCCAAATACGATGCCAAGGAAGACGGCTACCACTATCAAAACCGCTGTCCAGTCTTGTCCAAGTACAGCTGAAACACTTTTTAACCCACGAATACTTTCGGTTGTTGGTGTTTCAGGATGCCAAGAAGGAGGAGTACTGGAACTTTTAGTTTCCGTTGGTGTTGCTGTTGCTGTTACGGCCAGTGTTGCTGTTGGTGTTGTTGTTAGAATTGCTGTTGGTGTTGCTGTTGCTGTTGCAAGTGATGCTATCGCGGTTTCTGGAATCATACAAAGGTAGGTCAGCTCAAACTCAGCTCAAGCAGACTGAGTTTACATATGAGCAAGTAAAGGTATCGAGTTAGAGTGGTACTTTAGTGACTTGTAATCCTTCCGATGCTTTTAACCTAAGGTACTCAGCTACAGTAGTTCAATAAAACTTGAGAGCAGCCACAGAATGCAGGGCCACCTTTGACGCAGTAGTACGTCTGGCCAGTTGCAGTGAGAACCGGATCAAAGAACAAGGTTGGTATACAGAAATTGACTAGAAAATTTACCTCGTATATTCTTTAGAAAAAGCTCATAAAGCATATTTTAATCAATTAAAAAGCAAACAACATTTATTGTAGGCATCATTTTTTTCTCAAAACATCGCTCTAACATTTTGATGACAACGAAGTCAATGAAACCTGACACAGCATTCAGCGAATTTAAAAAAGTTGCTCTCTCTTTTATTAAACTCTAATTTTTCGGGCCAATTTACACGTTTTCTCCCCCTTTCGCACCGGGAAATAGTACCGCAATTGGGAATTGGACAATGTTCAACATCATGGTAACCAAGTTCCTATAGCGGGTGTGGAAGAGTTACTAAAAGTATAATGTTCCTTTTTTTGTCCCAATATGCATACGAAATTTGTCAGTGCGATTCTAGGTCAAAATTAACCATGGAAATTACAGAGGCCTGTTTGAATGAGAAAGATAGAGAAGAGAGCAAATTACCTTGAGAACCGTTCACCACAAGGATCTCGAAGGTGTAAACACGTGCTGAATCATCATTCAAGTGCACTTTGACTCTAATCTCGAGCTCGTCGTCACTCTCGTTAATTCTGGTCAGCAGTAACGAGCCGTGTTTGACCCGTAATCTGTTCCAGAAAACTGGAACTGCATCGCTGCTTCCGATTGATTCCTTTATGCAGTTACTTGTGTGACAGTACGCAAGCTTGCTTTTGTTGGTGTCGTAAAATTCGATATCTACGACTCGTTGCCATGGTAATATGTTCCTCAAGACCTTGGTGAAGTTTACGTCCGAAGCTTTCTGAGCCCTGATACCTGAAAGAATTAGAAATGCAGTGTTCAGCAGGTCAGAGGTAATTTATTTTTACAAATGCAAGTAACGTGTGAACCGCATCTACGCAGGATTTGTACATATCTGTCTGTATTTTTGTCAGTCTGTGATTACTGAAGCTCGAAGATAAATAAAGTCATGAAAAGGTCTGAGTACATAATGAACAAATCGAACTCATTTGTCCATGGTCAACACTTTTTCCTAGCTGTAATTGTTTTGGCTATTTTATGTTTGCAATTACGTTTATACCTTTAAAGGCTGATCATTGCCATAACAATGGCGGCATAAAATATTCCAAAAACTCAAGTGGAACCACTTGGCTGCGGATGGTGATTTCAGTGCAAAGTTTCGGAAATTTATGTCATCATTTCTATGGCTTTAAAATAAGGAATGTTTTTTTCAATTACACCAAAATTCACTAACGGATTAGACAGAAAATCGCTGCGAAATTTCGCGCACAACTGACCACATCGAAGATCACTTTTTGTCTACTTTGTCGGAAATTTTGCCGAATGGCATCAGACCTATCGACTAACAGGCAGGACATCTGAACTTACAGACGGTAAAGTTGCTGTAGTGGATCTTGACAACACGAGGAGTATTTATGGTAGAGTCCGTGTAATGAACCAGACATTTTAACTCAATGATGTCATCAGTCACGGTCTTCGCTGAGGGTTGTAACGTCAGGGTACCGTTGGAAATGTTCGTCACTTTGACTCCGTTTGGTAACATTGGTTGCTCGACTATACAGGTCATAAACCCATTGCAGTAAGTGGTCCGAATCCATTGGTTGCTTTTAGAATTTTTAGCTCTCCATTCAACATCCTTGATGGACTTATCCACTCTATTTAGACCCTCGCAGCGATAGTTTAGACGTTCATCGAAGCAAGTGCCTCCTGGTTTAGTACATACAGAAAGAGAAAATAAACTTTGACCTTCTGCAATGAAACTCCAGAAGAACACACGATTAAATTCCTTTGCTTATTTCATGGCTTCAATTTTCCATAACGTGAAAAGAACCTTACCAGTTTCAATATTCGATTTTTGCATGATCGCGTGATCGCGTGACGACGTGAAAATTGTCGAACGTGACAATTTTCATCCATTACCGCGGTTTCCATATTTGACATATAGGTAAAAATCCTTTTTGAAGTACTTTTGAGACGTCACGTCCTTGTGGTTGGGAAACAAAAGTCCCAATTCGAAATAATTTGTTGCCAAATTTGCGTCTCAGAAGGGAGCAAAGAATATTCAATGTAAGCTTTTACAAATTCTTACGTGCAGTAGTTGATTATGTTTATGTCGTGCAGGCAACTTTTCTTTCATTGTAAGCAAAGGACTTCATTAAAATGCTTGTTTGAATGAATCAAAAAATATGTTTACAATGAGGCGGGAGTTTTCCCTGGAACAAAAGGTAGTTTTCCCGCTTGCAGTGTTGCGATCGATAGTAGGCATTCTCTAAGCATGCTAAGGTTTTTGTTATCTGATTTGTTGTTTTCTGTTTTAAATTTTCGGTTCCTTCTGTCCACCTTCATCAGAGTTGCAATCTTAAAATAAATTAAGTCAACATCCTTACCTTCAGTGGGTATGTAGGCTAAACTGAGCCCTGTTTGGAGAAAAATAAATCATTAAATGCATACTCGGTAAATATTTTAGGTATCACATAACAGGACAAATCATACCACTCTAGTTCATGTTTGTATTAACATAGTTACGTCCTATATAGTCGAATAAATTACAGACACAAACGAGAGCGACAAAATCAGGTTAAACAAATAGATTGGGAAAGATCTCAGGCTGGAACTCTAGTCGGCTTTACCATCTTTCAAAGGGTCAGTCGACATGCCCGATTAAAAGCAAAATAAATCACTGACTGACTTCTGTTGGTTTCATACGTTCACGTGGTTGTTTTCTTACTTACACACGATAAAAGTCGCCACGTATGTCCACACAGTCGAGTAGCGTGTATAGGCAAACCCTTGCATGATATTCCAAGCAATATCTCTGAAAAACCTTTCTGTCCTTTCTTAAAGTATACTATCAAAACGATTTTACTGGACCTCTTATGCACATCGACAATAGCAATGATGTAATCCAAGAATCGAAAGTGATAGAATAAAATTCCCCTTACTCGACACTCGATGACATACGACAACAATTTTCGGCACCAGTGACGTCCGCGTAATCGGGCTTCCGTAACCTGGCGTGATCTGTCATGGGAAATCGATTACAAATATTGTAGTTTATTATTGTAGCTATTATCGATTGCTATCGGACAATCGATAACCAACCGATAAACGACCAGCTTGGGTCCTCTAATTTCTATCAGAGGAACATTTATCACACTTTCACTTAAGGCCCTTGCTCAAGTTAGCACAGCAATGTGGCTTGCGTTCACCGCCTACCCTTGGCATGGCCGCGTTACGCGAGATAAGTGAAAGTGTGACAAATATTTCATTGTTATTGTTACGCTAGCTCAGCAGATTTTAGCATACTTCCGGAAAATCGTCGTAAAACAATTACGTGTTTCATGAATTCATGGTGTACAAAAACAAATAGCATGGCGATTCGAGACCTCTAATCGGCCTCACATATAAATGGAGAATATAAAAGCAGAAACCAAGACAACGTAGGATGATTTTTTCTAAGGTGTACTATATTTCGGCTGGCCAAACCAGCCTTTTTCAGGCACAATGAGAATACCAGAAATACGTAAAAATAATTGACAGTGAAAATTAAAGATAAGCATATGGTATTAAAAATGAAATAATGAAATAACATAATAAAAAGAAACAATTAATATGTTTCATCGTGGATGTTCAGACCATCGGGATCAATTGTTCTGCCTTTTTGAATTAAAAA